CCCAAGAGGGTTGTTCGATACGGGAAATAGTCACCTTCGCTTCCTTCTCCTTCATACATGTGGTTCGGGAAATGACCGGTGGGGTCGAATGTTCTTGTCACATCCCAGTCAAACCGCGCCGGAGTTCCATCTTCCAGCACGAACCAGGAATCTCCAATCTCATTGTGCTGGAGCTCTCTCTTAAGATTCTCTTCCAGCCTTACAGGTTGCACCTTCATCTCTTCAGTCACAACACGACTGATACTCATTATCGCCATTGAAGAATTTCTCTTGAAGTGCAATGGAACTCGAACAGTTCCTTTCTTCAGCCACAACTTTCCATCTTCGCTTACAGTTCCCCAACCAAGCTTCCACATCTTCCCAATCGAGAACAGTGGTTGGGTAACGTTGCCACAAACTGCAGTGTCTGTGATAACCAACTTCTTTCCTGACTCTTTCCAGAAAACGAACTTCACTTGCTGCCTCACAGGCAGTGTTGGGATAACTCTTCCCTGTGCATCTTTCAGTCGGTACTCGAAAGTCGAAGGTTCTCCGACCTCTTCTGCCCAATCCATAGGCAACACATGACAGTCCGCACCGCTGTCAAGCACAACTTCGCACGACTCAACCTCTTTGCAAACGTTCTTCACAGTCTTCTCATCTTGTAGCGTTCTCACTTCGCCAACTTCTTCGCCTGTTTGCTTCGAATCGTACCACTCCATCAACTCATCGTGAGGGTCTATCTCACCTTCATCGCTCTCTTCATCTCCCAGGGTGAGATCGAACTCTTCGAGTCTCCTCACTTCCAACTCATTCATTCTCCAGCTCACTTCATTCAAGTCAAGCTCTTCATCCTGATCTTCCACCTCTTCAACTCTTCGAACCATTCTCGCAGCAGAGGCGGTGATGACTCTCACTTGTCCACTCTCGTCGTTGTTCGCTCTCGCATTGCTCCCCGAGCTTCGGTCACCTTGACCTTGAGTCTCTTCTTCTTCCACGTATCTCACCTTTCCTTTTCCTCCTTTACCTTTATCTCCTTTCTGCCAACAATCCGTGGCTCGATGTCCTGGCTTGCCACAGATGTAGCAACTTCCTTGAAACTTCGTTGACCCGTAGCCACCTTCCACCGCGCGAACTCCCTTGTTTCTGTCTTTTCCTTTTCCCTTGGACTCTTTGCCAGTATCCCATTTTCCTTTTCCTTTTCCTTTGTTGGTAAATCTTCCTTTTCCAAAGGACTTTCCTCCTTTCTCTCCTTTACCTTTTCCTTTGTTCTTTTCCTTTCCATACTTCCCTTTGTCTCCTTTGTAACCTCCTTTCACTCGATCCACTTCCATCGCTTGAGGTCCGTTGTACGGCGTATGCTTTGTTGGTCCTTCCATACTGAAGGACTGCAAGATGTTCTCTGCATTCCAAGACTGCGTGCTCCTCTCGTACTCGAGCAACTTCCTTCGGATGTCCGTGTAACTCGTAGTAGGACTAAGTCCAACCAGAATATGCTTTCTCAACTCATTCGGCAATCCTTTCAGCACCGTGCCGATCTTGAGGTTCTCATCATACCTCGCTCCTGAAACTTTCTCGTATTCACCCACCAGCTTCTCGTAGGTGAGTAGGTAGTCCAGGATGGAAGTTCCCTTGGTCATCGCTGGGAAACTAACGAGGGCCTGAGCCATTGCCAGTCCTCTTGTTCTGCTCGACGGCTCCAACTCCTGAAACAACTTCTTCCACACACTGTAGCCATCCTGACTTCCTTCGGACTTCAACAACTTCAGAGGACGATTCCTCAGATATGAAGCCAAAATCGCATAGAGCTTGATGCTCCTCTCTTTCTCTTCTTGCGAATACAGAGCCGGATTCAACGGTCCTGACTCTACCCTAACCAACTCTTCGGCATACTTAGGATCTACAAATCCTACAAACACCCTGAAGCTAAAACTCCAGTCTGGCCATTGTGAAACTTCTTCCTCTAAATTCTTTGGAGCAAACACTTCTGGACTCTTTACCAGCTTTGCTGCTGAGTCATAACTCCTCTGGCCTGATCCTGCAGATCCTGCAGCTCCAGCCAAAGCATTGGCTGCTGCGGCCAAACTTCCCATCACTTCTTGAAACGATGCTCCCCCGAGACCTGGGGGCAATCCTCCTCCAGCTGGCCTAGCCATTGGAGTATCGCTTGGAGTGTCTCCTCCATGCTCTTGAGCTCCTGCTCCAGCAGGATCTCCTTCTTGCATCACACTTTTCTTCTCTTTCTCACTTCCAAGCTCCTCTTAGCCTCGCTTACAGTCTCCCTTAAGGAGCTCGCTTGGTAGCTGGCCCAAGGCTCTTTTGGACTTCAGTCCTCGCTCCTCCAGAGCGCTTTCTTGGGCTCACTTTGAACCAAAGGTCTAGGCCTTCAGCTCCGCTACCATAAAACGATTTAGGGTTCGTTCCAGACCCTTGAACTTGAAACCACTAGCGGGCACTTTTTGCTGGGACTCGGTCTGTTCAGCAGTCCCTTGAGCCTTGTTGGCAGCAGTGAAACGACAAGGAAAAATACTTCTACAGGGGGCACATGGCTAACCGAAAAGTTTGTTAGATATGCACCCACACAACGTCGCGCGTCTCAACAAGACGCCTGATGAAGTCCCAGGTGCGTGACAAGCGCAAGTCCAGCTGCAGCACATGAACATAAGGTCTATGCTTACTATGGCCCCAATCTACCGGCACGACCGCGTACCCGGCCTCTTTGGCTACGCAAGACAGAAGGGCAGAGCCCGCACACAACTCGAGCACAAGGGGGCGAGAAGTCGACGGCGGCAGCAGAAGAGATGAGGGCTGCACGGGCGGTGCAAGAGGAACCGAGGCCTCTGCCAAGGGCTGGGCTCCTGCCGCTGGAGCGACACCTGTCGGGGGTGGCAGTTTTGTGCTGGGACTAGCTTCTAAGGGAAACCCTAAGAGCCGCAGCTCTGCCTTAGCGGGGGGCTTAAGCTTCTCCACGAAACGCACCGTGAAACCTACCAAGACAAGGCGGCGACCCTGCCAGGGGAGGACGCAATGTGCATTCTCGCTGGCCGACAAGAGCAGACACGGACCATTCCAAGGCACGGGGCCACCGATGACATCGTGGCCTTGAAACTCACGGACTTCGGAGCCCTCACCCTCAACCCAAAGACAACCTCCCTTAAAGGCGGTTAGGGGAGTGATTATATTAGGGAAGGGCGCATTCTGCAGGTCCTTATGCATGGAAGAGGGACTCTGATCAAGCACGGCAATGGAAGAGAAGACACACCCGGGGGCCGCATGTTTGAGCCAGGCCACAAACAAGGCAGTGGAAGCAGGATACTTCCCAGTCGTCGTTCGCACGCCGACGACTCCGCCATGCACAAACGCGCCTGCAGTGAAGCTGCTGCCTTCAGCAGCGCGGGGGGATGGTTCTTTTGGCAAGGCGTCGAACAGGCGCACAAGGTCTGAAGCAGTCAGCTCATGATGGCCTGCCAAAGCCCAAGCCAAGGTCTCAGCTTGATCAAGATCATGTGGTTTTGCACCCTGAAAGAGAATCGGAAAAACGGCACCCCCAGCATGAAGAGGAGGTGCCAAAACAGAACTCACGTGCTCAGCTGCATGTGAATGTACGAAGCAGTTTGCTCCACGGCTCACGCGCGGCCTCTTAGGCTCCGGCTGAACCACATGTGCTGAAGGAAAACTTGCGTCGGCCGACGAGGCCGACCCGCCGGTGCCTTGCGAGGCAGCGACGCCTGGTACTACGGGAGCGCCCGGCTCGAAAACTGCATCCTCTCCGGACGCTGTGCCTGCTGAGGCACCCTTGGGACCCTGGGTCCCTAGTCAGGCCTGTCCTGACACACCGCTGCGCAAGCTGCAATCCGTTGCAGGGTGGCTTTTGCCGCACCGCGGAACAGCGCAGACATGTAGGCCTTTCGGGCACCTGCCGCGAGTGACGGTCTCGCGACAAGTTTTGAGACCGTATCCGAAACATATGGGGTCTCCGCCGTTCGTGTGGCTCCGACAGCCTTCCAGCCCCTGGGGCATTTTCATCTGCCGAACGGCAGCCTTACCTCGCTTCCCCTTTCCACGGCCCTTCCCTCCAGGAGGGGGCGGCGGAAAGCCGTAAGGCCCATTACGCTCTTTCTCAGAGCCAGCGCCAGCAGCCTTAGGCAATGGCTGCATCAAGCTGACAACCTCCGTTGAACAGGTGGCGGCTTCGAACACCTGATCCAAAGGCCTTCCCGATGCTGTGACCTGGAGGCCGGCACGTGTCTGATCAGCAAGGCACTGGAACAACTTGCGATCTGCAGCCTGCAACTGCATGAAGGTTGGTAGATTGTGAGAGGAAGGAACAACGTCCAAGCGTGCACTCAGAAGCTTCTCTACCCAACGGCTGTGATGGACAAAATCTAAGAGATTCGCCATCTCAAAAGCAATGCCTCGACGGGACAACGCAAGGTGGATGAGGAACTCACTGGACGTGTCTGCACGCCCCGGGTCAGGCTTCTCAGTCTTGAGTTTCCCCGAGCTGTCAATGGACAAGACCGACTCTCTCTTGGCACTCGTCTGTGCCTCGTGCTCTTTGCTTGTCAGACGATCCCACTCCAGGTATTGGAGGCGATTCTGCTCATAGATGGCGACACACGCATCCACCAGAGCATCTGATGGCTCCATTCGATTCCGGATGTCCAACCCCGGCAACTTCTTCACGATGGCAGCGAACCTCTCGGAGCGCTCCGGCACCGAAAGCTTCCTAGGCGCTGTTTCATCGGTCCGCTCCACCAACGAGCGCATTTCACTCGTAGTGACAGCAAAGCTCTCATGGAACAACCTGCGAAAGGCTGCCTTCTGCCCCAAACTTGCCGGGCCTCCAAGTGCCGTCTCAAACGCGGCGATGAGCTCCTTGTCATCGCCCGATCCTGGCGTATAGCTTGACATGAAGGCTACCCGGGCCAGAGTAGTGATGCCAGCCCGTTTAAGGGCCGCGACATCAGCTTCTTCTAAGCCTACCTTCACACATCTCGCAGAGAACACTGGACCACTCTCCGAGTACGCAGCCATCTTTGACGGCCACCCAAACTAGGCTTGAGACCTGGCACCTGCTCAGAGCTGGTAAAGCATCTGTGTTTGCCATGACATGTAGGCAACTCTCAAGAGAGAACTCTCACATGGACGTAGAGCACGAACATCACATTCATGGACATAGAGCACATGCAAAAAGGAGGGGGGCGCAGCAAGTGAGCAAATCGTGGGCCTCGCACACACCCTTTATGCTCTATGCACAAGTGAAATCTCACATCAAGCCACATATGCTCTAAAGCATTGCTTACACCTAGGATGCAAAACTGCAGGTCGCTCATGGCATCGCCCATACTGTACAGACAACGCCCTTCCACATATCAAATGTGCTCCTGCTTCATCAGCGGTTAGGTGGATGACTCTCGACTGGCGGTGCCTGAAGTACGTTGCATCACCTGGCAGCCGCCGCTCATCCACTCTGCCCGGCCACCTCTCCATAGTCCTGGCGACGGTTCTGAGTGGTCACGTTCCTCTTCGTCGACCGAGGAGCCCGAAGACGACGCCATATCATCCTCGGAGTGAGGTGGATCCTCCTCATCGGACCTCTCACATTCCTCTGCCAGCTGTTGCCCTCTTGGGTTGTCAGGCATGAACTTCCCAGAGCGGACCTCACGCAGCATCGACGCCATGGCCCTGAGGGGGGCCGACTGAGCATCGACTTCATAGATGAGCTCCGTGCCCACACCGGCAGACTTCGAAGTATGATAGCCTAAGATGGCCCTTTGGTCCCTTACCACGTTTGCTGGCCCATGAGAGGATTGTTCTTTTGCACGAATGCGTACCCACATTGTTCAAGTACTCATCGGGGCCCACTCCCTGGGCAAGCAGGCTCCTGAGCCACACACAAGCCTGGTCGCACGGCAAAGGCACATTCCTCCAGGTCCCGTTGGAACCCGGACACGGCAGGAGGGGCGAATCCTCGTGGATACGAATCCCACATTCTTCCATGACATCGATCCAAGCATCGGCCCACCTGAGACCCGACAGACCCAAAGCACAAGCTGCCATCGGCAAGAACCTAACCTTCCTCTCGAGGGAGAAGCTGGTCTTGCTCCTCGAAACGTGGACCTCGAGATATGCTGAGATCAGGCGCACAAAAAGGAGCTTGCACACACGCTGGGCATCGGAGAACCTGGCTCTCGCGTGCACTAGGAAAAGGAAAAAGCCCGCTGCCATCCTATCTTGCAGGGACCTCCCTTCAAGACCACAGCAAATTCTCTCAAGCAGCGCAACATGTTCGACTTTCAAGGGGTTTCGTTGAAGGAGCTTCCTCTTCTGCAAGAAAAGCCGAGCTGCCAGGCCCCGAACACGACCCGACTCCAAAATCTCATCAACACCCTTCAAGCCCACAACATACTTTGCGAAGGCAAAAGCGGAGAGAACACTCTTCAAGGAAGTCGGTGCAGCTTTGTCCTTCACATCATCGAAGTAAGCATACACAAGAGGCTCAGCGGCAGGAAAAACTATCGCAGTCTTGCCCGAAGCCCAGGCAACATACCTCATAAGAGCATTCGCACGCGAGTGCAAAGTAGACGTTGCTTTCACTGCCAAGGCATCTGCCACGCTGTTAAGAAAAGGACCAGTACCCAACCCTGCTGCCTTCGAAGCATGGAAATCACGTGCAAGTCCAAAGGCAAGGGGCTCAACAAGAATGATGCGCTGCCACTTCGCAATAGCAAGGCTGCGTTCCTCACTCTGGAGATCAATCCAAGCCTTGGGGTTCGAGTCGTACTTGCTGAAACGAGCCATCTTTTCAGCAATCTTAACAAGTCCAGAAGACTTAGAAAAAGGCTCGGAACCCTCAGCTGATTCAGGCTTCTCAAGTTCACACAAAGGCAAGGGACCTCTAGGAACCAGCTTTCTCTTTGCCGGCTGACTCACAAGGCCAATCTCCCAGGGTTGCTGCCACACGCTAGCATGATCCCTCAGGCATGACTGCAAGTGCAGGGAATACTCAGTGTGATTATCAAAAGCCATGAATGCCCAAAACCGGGACACACCCCCCCTTCACTCACGGAAGTTGGGCAGGCAAGAGGCAACGCACTGAGGGCCGAGCAGGGCTCAAGAAGTCAGTGTCAAATGAAGGCTCAAACAAGTATGCGGCCAGCGCGCAACAGCCACGAGGGAAGCCCAAGACCCTTGAGGGAGAAAGAGGAGCAAGCGAGCTCCGTCGGAGCGGCTGAGTAAAACGCCGCGAAGGTTACCCTCCAAGATGTACGTATACAAATTGGGGCTTTCTTGGGAGTACTCAAGAAGGCGGTCGAAGTAGAACGAACGCGGGCGCAAACGAAGTGCAAGGAAAGTTGCAGGCTCAGGATGCTGAAGAGGCTCGGAAGCCTCGGACTCGCTGCTTCCACTGGGGGAAGAAAGCATCCGCCACCCCCGCGGGGTGGCTTGCACGGGCCCTAACGGCACTGGTTGAAAGGGGGGGCCCGTTTGGAAAAGAAGAACCTGTTGAGGACCCGCAGAGTTACTCAAGAACTGGGCCCAAAGAAATTTCCTTGCTTTGCTGACTGCTGAGCCAAGCTTGAGCCAAAATGGCTACGGACTCAGATGGGACCGAAGTCAAAAAGAGTTTAAGCTGCTAGATGATTGGGCTGTAGAAAAGTAGATAACCAGAGTTTTTGGTGGAAAGGGTGATCCGAACAATCAAAGAAGGGCTGCTGAGAAGATTGGATCAGGGAATCGGTTGAAGAGCGCAGTGGCACCTGCTGTTACCCGACAGCTCAAATCAACAATCGGGTTCACACGGCTACAGGAGCAACGCCCAACGAAGCTTACAGCAACCCTGGCAAAGCAGACGAAGCGTGGAACTAAAAAAACTGCTGAGCCCAGAGCCATCGAGGTCAAGGATCGCGTCAGGATCAGGTTGAGACCTCAACTCGATCACATCACAGGGCGTGCCCAGCTCCGGGAACAACGCGTACCACTTGGCAGCTGAAGCCATGCTTGCTCGAGACGCTTAGACGCTTGCTCGAGACACAATCCGCAGCATGACCGTGTGTCTAGGACTCTAGACAACTGCACGACACTGGCACTGCAAGACTACCTGTGAAAACCCCTGCGCGAAACGTTGAGAGGCCCCCGCCTAAGAAGGTGTTGTTGGTGGAACGGAGCGACAAGGTGGGCCCGGTTCCGGCAAGGGTTGGAAAGGGCGTGGGCTCAGAGTACTGCCTTGCTGCAACCTTGAAGCCTTGCACAACGGTCAAACCTAGCTGCCTTGGAGCCCCAACCCGCGCCTGGAACAGACTCTGACATCTAGAGCCCGGCCCGCGGCGAAGAGGATGTCGACGATGGCCTGCAGGGGAGGCCCACACACCCGAAGCCAGAATTGCCTGGATTTTTCGACCCCAGATTTGGAGGTCACAGAATCACAGCTGCAAGCCTCACGCGCACACGGCCTTCTGCTTCTACTATGTTACTATACACTTTCAGCTAATAGTCACGTGCTCTTCCCGCAACTCTACCCCTGCCCACTTACGCAGCGTCGCTAATCAAGAGTAGAGGGGCACCAACTGTAGCTCTGGCGGAGTCGGCGTGACAAGCCTCGGCGGAGTCGGCGGAGTCCTCGCAAATTGCAATTAACCAATAGAGTGCCGTGGAGTCCTAGGTTTCCCGGAATAACAAAACAATGTTTTTTAATTCGGGAACACAACGACTGTTCGCGGGCAGCTCGCCACCTTGGTCCGTTTTGTTAAGACTCTACGGGGGTGGAGGGCCTCCACCACGCAGCAGGAAAGTGACCTTCGCTATGTTCTTAAGCAGGTTAAGCCGAGGCAGGAACTCGGTCTCCTAGCACTTGCTGTGGAAATCAAGCCCCCTTCCCAGCCTCTTCAAAACACAGTCAACCCCCCCTCACCCCAACCCTTTCAAAAGAGGTCACACCCAACCCAGCCCCTTCATAGCATGGTCAAACCCGCCCAAGCCCACCCCAAGCCCACCCGGAAGCTACCCTCAGCGCCTTCAAAACATGGTCAAACCCATCCCAGCCCCGTCAAAGCATGGTCAAAACCACCCCAAAGCCATCCCACCTTCAAAACACGGTCAAACCCACCCCACCCACCCGCACCCCTTCTAAACAGGCCCAACCCACCCCGAGTCCATTCAAAACATCAAACCCACCCCAGTCCATTCAAAGCATGGTCAAACCCAGCCAAACCCACCCCAAACCCACGCTGAACCCACCCCAAACCCACCCGCTATTCTCAGTCCCTTCAAAACATGGTCAAACCCACTCCAAACCCACGTGCACAACCCTGTCGCTGGGGACGTCGCCCGTCCCCAAAATCTTCTTCTTCATTGGGCGCATGGCAACTTAAAATCCGGGCCTGCAACACGCTTAAATATCTTTGCTGTTCAAAGCCCAAGCCTGCCAAAAAACTTTCATTCTGCAATGTCTAGCAAACGACTCTGCACAACCGCAGAAAACGTTGAGGCCACGTTGGTCAACTCCCCAGAGCTTGAAGCGTGACTCCTATCCACAGAAAACACCAACAAAGACCTGCAGCTCAACTGGCGGGCCAGCAGCATTGCCAGGACGAAGCCCAAGTTATGGGGAAGTCGGGCGGCCCCGCTTTCAGGGCCGCAAAACACAAGCAATTCTGGCTTCGCCAGGACGGGCCTCCACAGTTGCAGTTCTGCCTCACTGCAGCATTACAAAGACGAGCGTGCAGCTGCTTCGGACAAGCCCCCGCACGCTCAGGCGACGCTGCCCAAAGTTACTAGAAAAAGGGCAGGCGCGATCGGGTTGCTTGCGCCCACAGGCTCAAATTCAAGGGCCAAAAAAATGGGCCGTCTCGCGGCCCCAAAAATGGGGCCGCGAAATGGACCCAGCTCCCGCAGTACAATTTGGAACTAGATTGGGGGGGGTGAAACTGCGACCCCAAAATTGGGGCCGTTTGGCGGCCCCAGTTTTGGGGCCGCGAATTCTTCTATTTTTGGCGCTTTCCAGACTGCTACACTCAGGCGACTCTGGCCCACAGACAAGCACTCAACGTGGAAAGAGCAATTACTGAGAACCACGACCTCCGCAGGCAGCTTTCTTGTGGAAGTGATCAACATGAGAGAAACTTGCACAGGGGAGGCCCACACACCCGAAGCCAGAATTGCCTGGATTTTTCGACCCCAGATTTCGAGGTCACAGAATCACAGCTGCAAGCCTCACGCGCACACGGCCTTCTGCTTCTACTATGTTATACACTTCCAGCTAATAGTCACGTGCTCTTCCCGCAACTCTACCCCTGCCCACTTACGCGGCGTCGCTAATCAAGATTAGAGGGGCACCAACTGTAGCTCTGGCGGAGTCGGCGTGACAAGCCTCGGCGGAGTCGGCGGAGTCCTCGCAAATTGCAATTAACCAATAGAGTGCCGTGGAGTCCTAGGTTTCCCGGAATAACAAAACAATGTTTTTTAATTCGGGAACACAACGACTCCGCCGTTCGCGGGCAGCTCGCCACCTTGGTCCGTTTTGTTAAGACTCTACGGGGGTGGAGGGCCTCCACCACGCAGCAGGAAAGTGACCTTCGCTATGTTCTCAAGCAGGTTAAGCCGAGGCAGGAACTCGGTCTCCTAGCACTTGCTGTGGAAATCAAGCCCCCTTCCCAGCCTCTTCAAAACACAGTCAACCCCCCCTCACCCCAACCCTTTCAAAAGAGGTCACACCCAACCCAGCCCCTTCATAGCATGGTCAAACCCGCCCAAGCCCACCCCAAGCCCACCCGGAAGCTACCCTCAGCGCCTTCAAAACATGGTCAAACCCATCCCAGCCCCGTCAAAGCATGGTCAAAACCACCCCAAAGCCATCCCACCTTCAAAACACCGTCAAACCCACCCCACCCACCCGCACCCCTTCTAAACAGGCCCAACCCACCCCGAGTCCACAAAACACGGTCAAACCCACCCCAGTCCATTCAAAGCATGGTCAAACCCAGCCAAACCCACCCCAAACCCACGCTGAACCCACCCCAAACCCACCCGCTATTCTCAGTCCCTTCAAAACATGGTCAAACCCACTCCAAACCCACGTGCACAACCCTGTCGCTGGGGACGTCGCCCGTCCCCAAAATCTTCTTCTTCATTGGGCGCATGGCAACTTAAAATCCGGGCCTGCAACACGCTTAAATATCTTTGCTGTTCAAAGCCCAAGCCTGCCAAAAAACTTTCATTCTGCAATGTCTAGCAAACGACTCTGCACAACCGCAGAAAACGTTGAGGCCACATTGGTCAACTCCCCAGAGCTTGAAGCGTGACTCCTATCCACAGAAAACACCAACAAAGACCTGCAGCTCAACTGGCGGGCCAGCAGCATTGCCAGGACGAAGCCCAAATTATGGGGAAGTCGGGCGGCCCCGCTTTCAGGGCCGCAAAACACAAGCAATTCTGGCTTCGCCAGGACGGGCCTCCACAGTTGCAGTTCTGCCTCACTGCAGCATTACAAAGGCGAGCGTGCAGCTGCTTCGGACAAGCCCCCGCACGCTCAGCGCGACGCTGCCCAAAGTTACTAGAAAAAGGGCAGGCGCGATCGGGTTGCTTGCGCCCACAGGCTCAAATTCAAGGGCCAAAAAAGCGGGCCGTCTCGCGGCCCCAAAAATGGGGCCGCGAAATGGACCCAGCTCCCGCAGTACAATTTGGAACTAGATTGGGGGGGTGAAACTGCGACCCCAAAATTGGGGCCGTTTGGCGGCCCCAGTTTTGGGGCCGCGAATTCTTCTATTTTTGGCGCTTTCCAGACTGCTACACTCAGGCGACTC